TTTAAGCTGGTAAACCTGAGAGGTCCTCCTCCCACTGTTACCCAAAGAGTCTGTGGACCAGTGGAGCAACATGGATTTGTGCTGCAGTGAGAGGTATCACAGTCACCCTTGGAGATATTTTTTCTTCATTTGAAGAGGAGGGGAAATCAAACTGCAAATGCTGCAATTTTATCCATAGGAAGACAGACACCCTAGGGCCATCTCCTTTAGGCTGGACCATACTCAGGAACTGCTGATCAGGTCTCCACCTGCTGTTAGGGAAGAACGAGCACTCATCATATGCAAGACACATACAAGAAAAAAAAAGCAAAAATTGTTCAAAGTCTGAATTAGGCACTGAATTCCACCCATATTCTATGGGAGCTGCAGCCCTAAATAGGTAGTTACTGCCTAACTTCAGGTGCTTCAGATCTGAATTTCCTCTAAGGTGATTAGTGCCCTGCTGATTACAGGTGAGAGGCTGCTTGCAATGTATCTGTAACCCCAGCAGAATCTGGTTCTGCATAATATGACAAAAATGTTACTGTTTGCTCCAAAAAAAGACCCAAAAGCTTAAAAAAAAGATCTCAAGGGATTGATTGCAGTTTGTCGTATGAACGAGGAGACTCTCGCAAGCTTTATCTTGTGCAAAAGAATGGCTTTGCAAATCAAAGCTGCACAAGATCAGCTTTACCTTATGCTGCAGTAGTTCTTTATTTTTTTTTCTCCCCAGAAGGAAATTACACTCCAATTTGCTTAGGAGTGGGGATTTCCAGCTCTTTTCTTCTCCAAGGTTGTTGTAATAATTAATCATTTGTTATCATTAATTGCACTTTGGTAGTCTCCTGTAAATCTCCAAGGAGCTTTCACACATTAATAGAAATGGACTCATCCTCAGAGGAGGCTGTGATTCTTTTTGATTCAATTTTTGGGAAAAGATTTTTTTAGGGGAAAGGATTTTGGAGAATATGTTACTTTTTTTTTCTTTTTTCTGGGTATGCTTCTCACATTCAGGATGGAGTCCGAGTTAAATCTATGGAGAAGAGAAAGCACCACCTTTTGATAGCTCTTATCCGAAATTCAAGCCTTTTTTTGATTCAGAGTCACATTGTAGGTCCCTGCTCCAGACTCACAGAAGCTGTCCTGATCCTCTACCCTCCCTGAGTAAACAGTCCTATAAAATCCCAGTTTGAATGGGCCCCAAACCAAAGGCACAATTTATTTCAGCACATTTTCTTAGCTAGCTCTACTCACAGCAGCACCACAAGACTGATCAGCAACATCACCCCTATTTTATCTGCACTGTGACCAAAAAGGACATGAAATAACCTGCTGAATGTGACACGGCAGCAAGCCCCAAAGTCCCCATTTCCCATCCCTCATCTCTATTAATAAACACTCCGTATCCCACCATGAAATTAGGCTCTTTAATGGCAGACAGGATAAATTTGCTGACTGAGAGCTTCCGACTAGGTTCTTTGACTTCCATAAAACCTTCCTTACATTTAGATATTATTAGCACCTGTTTCTCATCCATTTTTAAAAGATTTAACACCTTACAGAGCTGAAATTAGCAAAAGTGCTAAGGCTCCCTTAGAAAAAGAGGATGGAGTAAAATTTGGGCTATATTGAACAAATCACTTGTTCTCTGTTCATAAAAGAACATGATCCTGCACTCCTTGTTTCCAGCAGGTCCTTAGCATCCTCTTAGCATCCTGAATAGGGCCTCAATTTCTCTGGGTAGCCCTGTTTTACATATAGCGAAAGAATATTGTTCCCAGCCTCTCAGAGATATTCATCAAGAGATAGATGATGAATATTAACTTGTACCCAGTTGATCAGAACTCCCTGATTTGCTCAGCAGTTATTCACTGCTCTCTGCCAAAGCAATTTCCAGAACTAATAATGCTCATTGGCTACACATATCTATGGCAATGTGTCATTATTGTATAATATTAGGCAGACTGTTCTTAAGGCACAGTTTTCTCAGCTGATCCCAAGTGTGGGTGATTAACTTCACCTAGGAGTACCATGAGGCCTAGACATTATCAGAAATATATGAGGACCTCAATAGAATCTAGAAATTTGGAGAAATCTGTGATCTCTACCCTAACTGCAGCAGATTCCTCTTTCCAGCTGACACTGAACTTATCTCTTTGTCAAATCTCCCCTTCTTTCTTGCCTTCCTTTGATATTACAGGGTCACTTGAAGCCACTTTTATTTTTTTAGTCGTTTAGTTTTATATAAAAATAGAAGCACTTGAGAAACAAACAACCTATGAAGTGACAATTCATCCTGAAATTCATCCTGAAATGCAGCTGTATAAATGCACTGAACCACCATGCTCAGTGAGAGTGAAAATGAAGACACTTAACTGCCCACTGCAGATGTTCATGGAACAGCCCTGGATTTCCACTCTGAAGGGAGATGTTTAAGCCTCCAGCACTTGAAGGGGTTGTCAGGTAGTTAATTTGGGTGAGAGGTGGAACAACAGATTCAATTGCTAGAAGGGCACAGGTGCATCAAGAACATTGACCAGAGTTTATCACAACGATGTTGCTATCTCTAAAGTAGGAAGCATGAGGCAGCTGAGTCAGGCCAGAAGCAAAGGTTGAGCTGTCCTCTCTGCCCAAGAGCACGAAAACTGATGCAGTGAAATGTGCAGTGGAGAATCCCAAACCGCAGGGCTCTGCCCAAGGCCCTGTGTTTCAAAACACTGATGGCTTTTAAAACACAGGGCTGCCAGAGCACCTTGCTTGGGCCTGTTGCAGAGATATGTGGTGCCTGCAAGATGCTCACATGTATTCCCAGAGCCCACCTGCAGCCTGGGTACCTCTCCAAGAGCAGCCCCAGCCCCAGGCAGGGCCGTTGACCACAGTGGGGGACCTCAGCTATGCCATTGGTGAAAATGGAGAAAGGAAAAGCAGAGCTGCAGTTCTGCCAAGCTTTGCTGTGCTTATCTTATCTCCTCTAGGAGCCAGCCTCCTGCATATCTGCACAGGTTCATCCCGAGGGAGGTGACACCGCCAGGCAGAGCCTACGGGCCGATGCTCAGGGTGATATCACTGCAAACACCCTCACCTCGCCACATCTCTGCATGGTGGGCTCCAAGATGGACATCTTGGGTCGCTGTCAGGCGGCAGCTGAAAAACCACGAGTTTCATTTCTCTGAGACGAATGCCTTTGCCTTTCGCACAGCTACATCTGCAGTGGATAATGCTCAAGTGTTTTTCCAGGGCTGGGTTTTTCACATTCCAAAGGCACTCTTTCTTGTGCTGGAACCATGTATGCGGTGCGTGGAGCGACGGAAGCGATGCAGAATGCAAGGGCAAGACACGATAGCCCTTTCCTGCTAATCTTCTTGCACCCAAAATCTGTTTGAGAGAGAACTGCCTTACATGCTAAAGCATCAGTGTATTAGCGCTAAGAGCATTAGGGACTCAATTAGATCCATAACCTCCAAACCCACCACGTGACCATGTTTTAAACGGCTCCATCCTTGCCTGGTCCTTGTGCCTTCCTGCAATTATTCATCATCTTGTGTATGAACATACAACCATGTGTCAGCAACAGGATTGATGTCTCCAGGTCTTCCTGCATGATACAAGCTCCTCTCAGGAATCAGATGCTGTGCAAATGCTCATGGCCTGATTTGTATGGCCCCACCAGGACAATTTCACCTGGAGATCTTTTCTTCAGTCCAAAGGTAGTATCTGCGAAGAAGAGCTTTGAGCTTTGCATGACTAGGTTGTTTTCACAGTTTCTTCACCTGCTTATCTGCATAAACCTTAATTCATCCAACCAACCTTTAGGCATGTAAGGAATAGAGATGCACATTCTTTAAGGAAAGTTTGGTGGGATGAATTCAAACCACACAGAGGAGGTAAAAGGAATGATACATTCCTCATATGAGGAATGATACATGTTTCTCTAAATCTTGTCCTCAAGATTTGGCCCCAGTCATCTTAGCACATGGGGAGATCTCTCCCACTCGCCTATCCCAGGAGCTCCCTGCTATTTTGAATACTTTGAAATCCAATTAGTCATGATGGAAATAATAGTACTGAGCAGGATGCCAAAAGCTCTGGAGCTCTCCTAGCTGTGCCATGGAACCTGAGTGCTCTAACACATACTTTACAACCTGCACTTGAACTGGCCTGCGGCTGTAGCAAACCAGAATATACATGGCTTGAACAGCATGGGGCAGCCTTTGGGTGAATATATCTTGCTATCCTTGAAAAAGTCCTTTAGGCTCTGGGAATTATACACAAATGGCTACAGGACAAGCTATTCAGATATACATAGGTACTTTGAAGGGAAAGGCACAGAATAGCTAATATCAGATTTCAAATAAAAGCAGTTGCCAATATTTCAGTTTAGAGAGAAGTGCCAATAATAACTGTGCTTTGCTCAGTCCAACATTTTCATATATTGATTCTGGAGATGCTACCTGGATACAGAATAGGAAGGTGACAGGGAAACTGAAGAGTGTTTACGGCCAACTACATGTCCTGAGGCCAACTGTCAGAGCTGGCAATGCCCATGCTGTTAAACTCCCTCCAAAGCAAGGTGCTGACCCCCTAACTGCATGGGACTGAAGATGGCCTTTGGCCTGTTCTATTCCCCCAACTTGGACGGACTTGGCCAAAACCAGATATAGAATTAGGGCTGGTGTCCCTCCTCCCAGGGGCTGACACAGGCAGTGGTGCTCGCTGCGTCCAGAGCTTTTCAGACAGGGAGAGTTGCATCCTTGCCTTGTACCCTATCTCCAAACTTGGAGAAAAAGCTTTTGCTTTTTTTTGTTTGTTTTTTGGGGAAGGGTTTTTTTGTTTTGGGGATTTTTTTTTGCACAGGTTGACTCACAGCTCTGGGGCTTGGGACATGCAACAGTCAGCTTGAAGGGTCTGGAGAAAGGGTCTTGCTCTGGCCATGGAGAAGGCTGGGTTGCCTCTGAAAATGTTGCCAGGAGTAGAACAGTGGTGCCGGGGAGACTGCTGCTTGGCAACTCACTCCAGTAAAGATGGTGCTTCTCTCGCCCGTAGCGGTGAGGGCAGTAGTCCAGCTCCAGGTAAAAGTCACTTTTATTAATACAGAAGTTCTCAGATAGCCTGGGAATATCAGGAGGTGGACAGCCAAGGAGGGAGAACATGTCACACTGCTGAAGCCAGAGGAAGTGACCTGAGTTTCCACTGCTTCACCCAAAGTAAAATAGTTTTAAATACCCCAACAGGGCAGGCTCCACCCTGCATCCTTATGGGATTTAAAGTTCAGCCCCAGATGTTCTACTGAAGCTCTGCTGAAACTCCATACCCTCTTTCTATTTTTTTTCCCTCTTTCATTTTGCTTTCCACTTTCAGAGACTTGCATGTACTTTACCCTTGGAAAGAGCAGCAATATTTTCTAACCATGAGCTAGATCTTGGCTCTGGCTTCCCCCCAGCTCTCTGAAATGCCTGAAGTCCCCTCACAACCATAGAATGAGCAAAGGGAAATAATGATTTTCCAAGGCATTGGAATCCCTGATGTTGTGGATATCCATCCTGGAAGGTAGCCTAGTGGCAATCACATGCATGGAGCCGGACTAAACTGCCCATTGCTCCCTGTTTAAATGGGGACAGAAAGGTGATCTGCCAATCATCTTCTCCCCAGCATTCTCGGTGCCCTTAGGATCAGGATGAGGATTAGCCTGTCCCTCCATCAGGCCATCAGGAAGAGGACAGGGTTGAGGTTCACCTTCTTCCCCCACCAAAGCCAAAGTGAGCAGGGGCAGCCCTAGGATGGAGAGTTTGGCTTTCAGCAACCCCAAGTCCTGAGGCTTGCATAGCCCAATGAAAAAAGTCAGTGTCCATCTTCTTGTTTCTTCCTGGGAGTGTCTGTGGCACCTTGAAGGAGCATCTCAGAGGGTGTCATGCGGTGTGGGCTTTGAGGCTGTACCACGCTCACTTTCTTCCTCGGTGCTAGCGGGACGAAGGGCGGCAGCTTCTGCGGGAACTCCTGGGATGGGAACCCTTCAATGAAGTCTGGGACCTGCAACGTAGCATCCGGCTGGACATCCTCTACAACAGCATCATGTTCGCCGCAAGGAAAGGCCTCTCCTGGGCAGCAGTGGCGACAGTTGGGAAGCTCGCGGAGGAGCTCCTCGAGGAGATGAAAGGTGAGGAAGGTGGTGTGGTCCAGGCTGGGCTTTTTCCCTTTTCTGTATGAGGGGCAAAACAGAGGTTTCCCAGCAACCTGAGGTGATCCTTGGAAGAAATAACCCCAAATACACCTTCTTTTTTCTATGAGCATGCAGTACTTGGTTGCACCTACAGTGTCATGGGTAGTGGCCATGACAGGGCAACATGGGAAACTCAGAGGTGTGCAGCAAACTTTGAGTCATCCAAGCTGATGGAGAGAAAGAAATGTCTTCAGAGAGGTGTTTATGAAAGGCTATAGCATGGGTAGCTCAAAATCCAGGCCATAGCAGACAGATGTTTCTTCCGAGAAGGACTACAATTTGCACCGTACATAAATAAAGGCAGAATAGTCAGTTGGGGTTGAAGTTGCCCAGCTTGGGAACCACCCTGAGAGCAAAGAGTTTGTTCAGAGCCGTGGTTACTGGGGACACCAGAAACAGTCACGCTCTGCTTTGTTCCGGGCTAAACGTCTGGGAGCGCAGCCCAGCCCAACAAGTCGGGTAGGGTTGCCGGCATATTCACACCGGTGTGATTGGTATGAAATCATGCCCTCACCCTACCTCCCGGTGAGCTGCTGAAGAGCTTCCCTGTTTTGTAATAGCGATGACAACATCCATCCATCTCCTGCCAAACGGGGATCTGAGCTGCTCCATGCAGCTGGCCAGGGGCAGGCTGGAAGTAAGGGGTCTGCTCCCAGCTCTGTGGATGCTGTGGTCCACCAGAGCAGCTTGACTTAACGCATATCATCAATGCTGAGGTGTGTGAGAACTTGCTTCTTTGGAAAGCTTATCTGTGGACATTTTCATTCCCTAGAGAGGACATTCAGCCTAGAGGAATGCACTTCACTCTTCCTACTAGCTCAAGGCCCTTCTTAACTCGAACCATTCACGAGGCTTTGTGCTTTGGTCTCAGGTCCCATCTTGGCATTTTACTCTATTTTTGTCTCAACCTTTTCAAAGTATGTCTGAACTGTAGCAGAGGTGAGAAGTCAAATCAAAGACTGAGACTGCCATCCCTTGTGTGACAAGGGCAAAGAACAATATTTCTGTTTTTATTGACACCTTACATTGCTTGGGATCACATCCTTTCTTGTATATCAGTTCTAGATACATATTCTCCATTACAGAAGGGTAAAACTAGAATGATGACATTAAAGCTGATAGAGCTACTAGGGTTTTACTCAACTGAAATGAACCCAGAATTCACTTGCCTGTAAATGTTGAGGACTGTATCCTGCCAGAACTTCATTTTTCATTGCTTTAGAGTTTCAGAGTGGGCAGAACTACTCTTGATTACTACTCAAGATTAGTGCTTGAAAATATCTGCACCGTTGTGGCCATTTACAAACATCATCAGGCTGTTTGTTTCTTGCCCCCACTTGCTGCCAAGAAATAAATTAGACTTAATACTTTGCTTGTTTGCTTATGAGATAACAGTCACTTCACACCGCTGGGTGTGCCTGGTGTGTACTTAGTGCAGCTCTGAGCCGTGATGGGCAGTCACCTTTTGCTGAGGAGCTTGGTGTGAACTTCCTTAAAGTTTCCTTTACAGACAGTATTGACAAAGAAAACCTGCAATTTGGGACTTGTCCTAGGCTCTTGACCGAACCACAGATTACTACAGATCAGAAGGGACCTCTAGAGGTCTCTGGTCCAGCCTTTTCATTCAGAGCAGCGTGAATTTAAAGTTAGATCCAACTTCGAAGTTATAACATATTACTGGGGGTCTTGCCTTGCTGTATTTTGAATATCTTCAAAGAGGGAAATCTCATTGTCTCCCTGGTACCTCTTACAATTTTTGATCATCATGGTGCTTTCTTTTTATTTTTTCTTTCTTTTTTTTCCCTTACTATCTAATCGAGATTTCTATTTTTGCAGTTGGTGTCCATTGCTTCTTGTCCTTTCACTATGGGCATCCACAAAGTCTGGCTCCATCTTCTCTATACCCTCCCATTAGGCAGTTGAAGACAGGAATAAAATTTCCCCTTAGATGTTTCTGCTGAGGACTTGACTTGCCCAGCACACTCAGTGTCTCCTTGAAAACCTTGTGCTCTAGCACCTTACTTGTCTTGGTGACCCTCTGCCAGACTCTTTCCAATTTGTCAATGTGTTTCTTGCATGGGAAAGTCCAAAGCCAGATACTGGATATTTGAGGGTTGTGCTAGATGATCACTAGAGATGCCTTCTAACCTTAACGATTCTATGATTCTATGATTCTATGATACAGGCTCACATTCACATGTGCCAAATACTTCCATACTTCTATACAAAAAGCCTCAGCTGTTTTGTTTTTTTTGTTTGTTTGTTTTTCACTCCAGAAGATGTGATAAGTCTAATTCTTCTTCCTTTTGGGATGTCTTTTTTTTTAAAGCCATCTCCTTGTCATTTATAAATTCCTTCTTAGATTAACTGATACATCTGAGAAACGAATCTGGCCTAGATTAAGCTAAGCAAGAAGCAAGGATGTTAGATCCTTCTATTCTGCATTCCCTCATTGAGAGTGAGAAGGATGGAGTAGCTAATGAAAGAAACCAGTAACAAAGCCACATCAACACAGTCCAGCAGGAGATGCCCACCTACAAGATGAGCAAAAGATCAATTATCTTATCTTCTGCCCAGGATGGAAAGAGGACAGGGAATGGCACATTTTCTAGGTACCAAATTCTGTGACATATGCATCTCACTCATCTTTTGGAGGCGGACTGTGTCCACCACACTGGTAAAGAGAGAACAGGCCTTTTTGCTGATGCCTGAGTAACCTTGCTTGTCTACTGCCAGTTTTATTGCAGCTGTGGAATGAAACTAAGATGTTAATAAGGCAAAATTCATCAGAGAGCTGGTGCCTCTAGCTGGATGGCAATATGGAAGCATCATATTGATGGGGCAAAACAGAAGTAAATGTCCTAATCTGCCCTGGATTCGACCTTGCATAGGGAAGATTGCGAGATTTCATCTTCTGACACTCACAGAGCTGTTTATTCATAAGATAATGCAGGCCTGTTCACACAAATTAGGGTTGGTCACATTTGCATAATGCTGATTTCAGAGGTGAATTATTGTCACAGACAACTTGTTCCTACCGCAGGCTTTATCCATTTGACACATTCGATGTAGGATGAGATCTCAGCTCAATTAAATTGCTGCAGGGTGGATTTTGAAGGGAAGGAAAAAGGAAAAGGGAAGCATGGCCTGAGAGGCAGCTGAGCAGGACTACGTAACTGCTTCTGGATTGCTATGTTTAGACAGAATTTAGCAAAGGGTTAATAGTGCAGGTGTGGATTTTGTTGGCTACTGACTCTTCTGACTGCTTCTCCTTCTGAGAGGATGAATTTAATCATAATTCATGCCTTATTTGTTTCGCAAATAATAAAATGTCAGTCATGGATCGAACAACCCCAAAACCTCCTGTTTCTCCTGACCCAGAGATCTTACAATCTGGTCATTGCAGAAATGTGGCCTTTCATTACTTTTCTGGTACTATACCGGATCAAGGCTTTTTTTTTTTTTTTTAATCATTCTCTTTGAAATAAAATCTATTCAGGACATCCACTTCTTAACAATTTAGATTAAATTTTAATTAAACATCACTAAGAAATTAAATTTCCTCATGCAATCAGCTGGGTCAGGAAGGGCCATGGGGCATTCTGACAAAGCTGCAAGCTTTTCTCAGCTTTCAAAGGGGAGGGATCTATGCTGATTCATTAATAATCAGCCCACTGAATAATGCATGTGATGCTAATGATAGATTGAAATCCTGAGAAAAAGCCAGAGTGTACCTCCACAAATAAGTTTTTGGAGTGAAGGGGGAATAAAAAATAATCTTTCAGTTTAAGAAGATAGGATGGAGAGTAAAACTTTGAGGATTTAGTGAGTGCCTGACAAATATTTGGAGGTGCATTTTCATGCATATTACAGGAACTGCCTTCTGTGCTCTCTATTACTGCATTTTTCTCCTGCCTCTCACCCTTGCAGAGGAACTAATGGAAATTAAGTCCTGAAACAACCTGTGCTCTCACACAGAGACCTACAAGGAAGGAAATCAGAGGCACTACTGGGGCAGAAAGTGTGTTAAATATAAGCTCTTTGTGTCCTAGTGAGAGGAAGGGGTATACCAGAAAGCAAAGTTTGAATCTTAGAAGACCTGTGGGCTCTTCTCTATCTTCTCCATTGCTCTTGCATAGCTTGCAGACAGCCACCCATAACTACTGCAACCCAAATTACCTAAGCCTTAAGTAACTTAAAGGTCCAGGGTGTTCAGGACCAAGCATTGCCTTGAGATCTCCTATCACTACATCTGTCCTCTTCCTTCAGTGTTGGGGTGCAGCTGATTCTTGGTGCTACATGCAACTTTCCTGTGCAGCTGAACTTGGGTGTCTCTTCTGCCTGCTCCTTTCCTGCAGGTCCTGGGGCAGAAATGGTAGCACCTCATTGAGTTCTCCGTAAGGCTGCTATAACTCCAGGGTAACTCTTTGTGCTTCAGCAGAGCTACCGCACATGGATGTGGGTGTGATTAGGTGTTAAGGGGGTGCAATAAAAGGGAGGAGTAAACTGCAGCTGGTGTGCCGGAGTTTGCTTAAAATGAAGTAAATAAGAGGTAGTTCCAGTGGATCTTAGGGGATTTCACTCAATGAAACCAGCATGTGGTCACAGTGAAGCTACCTCCTAAACATATGTTAACTCAAGATTTCAGCCTCCTTAATTCTTAGTTTGTAAGACACTTGCATACCTGTAAGATACAGGTGAAAGACTTCCCTTTTTTTTATTCTTTATAAAAAAAGCTGGCATAGAACTTTGTTGGACCCTGGCTGAGATCCTCTAGCAGATCAGTTAAAATAACAATATTTACACAGACAGTAAAACAACAAGGGTTGATCAGCAAATTTGGGTCTTATTAGCCACCCTGTCAGCTAGTTAAGTCCAACTCTAGCTCCCCTTCTACATATTATGGAGAATGTCCTAAAGGCTGAAGAATGGATAAA